TGGGCCGTGTTGGTAGAGCGCTACGCCTGCCCACAGAAGGAGCAGGAGTACAAGCGCGTGCTCCAGATCATCGCCGCTTTAGCAGCGAAGCCAGAAACCGTAGTCGTCATCATCAGCACCATCCCCATCGCCATCGTCGTCGTCATCGTCATCGTCGTCGTGGTGCACCCCCCGACCCCTCGAGCACCAAGGCTCCCTGGCCTTCGGGAGCCCCCCTCGTCGCCGCGGCCGGACGCGGCGACAGAGACGGGTGTCTTTTGACTCTGGGAAAAATCCGGGGACCCCTTTTGGACGTTTCTGGGTCGGGGGGTGCACGACGACGCAGGCGAGGACGCCGTCGCCGCCGCCGCCGCCGTCGTCGTCGTCGTCGTCGTCTTCGCCGCCGTCGTCGTGGCGCGCCCCCCGACCCTTCGACCACCGAGGCTTTCTGGCCTTCGTGGGCCCCCCTCGTCGCCGCGGCCGGACGCGGTGACAGGGGCTGGTGCTGCTTGGCCCTGGGAAGCGTCCCGAAACCCGTTTGGGGCGATTTTTGGGTCGGGAGGGAACGACGACGACGACGGCAACGACGCCGTCGCCGCCGCCGCCGCCGCCGCCGCCGCCGCCGTCGTCGTCGTCGTCGTCGTCGTCGTCGTCGTCGTCGTCGTCGTCGTCGTCGTCGTCGTGGTGCACCCCCCGACCCCTCGAGCACCGAGGCTTTGTAGCCTTCGGGGGCCCCCCTCGTCGCCGCGGCCGGACGCGGCGACAGAAGCTGGTGCCTTTTGACCCTGGGAAGGGTCCGGAGCCTTGTTCGGGACGGATCTTGGGTCGGGGGGTGCACGACGACGACGACGGCGACGACGCCGTCGCAGCCGCCGCCGCCGCCGCCGCCGCCGCCGCCGCCGCCACCGCCGCCGCCGCCGCCCGCCGTCGTCGTCGTCGTCGTCGTCGTCGTCGTCGTCGTCGTCGTCGTCGTCGTCGTCGTCGTCGTCGTCGTCGTGGTACACACCCCCGACCCTTCGAGCACCGAGGCTTTCTGGCCTTCCTGGGCCCCCCTCGTCGCCGCGGCCGGACGCGGTGACAGAGGCTGGTGCTTTTTGACCTTGAGAAGAGTCCTGGGGCCCGATTGGGACGGATTCTGGGTCGGGTGGGCGCACGACGACGACGGCGACGACGCCGTCGCCGCCGCCGCCGCCGCCGCCGCCGCCGCCGTCGTCGTCGTCGTCGTCGTCGTCATCGTCGTCGTCGTCGTCGTCGTCGTCGTCGTGGTGCACCCCCCGACCCCTCGAGCACCGAGGCTTTGTGGCCTTCGGGGCCCCCCTCGTCGCCACGGCCGGACGCGGCGACAGAGGCTGGTGCGTTTTGATCCTGGGAAGAGTCCGGGGACCCGTTCGGAACTGATTTGGGTCGGGGGGTGCACGTCGACGACGACGGCGACGACGCCGTCGCCACCGCCGCCGCCGCCGCCGCCGCCGTCGTCGTCGTCGTCGTCGTCGTCGTCGTCGTGGTGCGCCCCACGACCCCGCGAGCACCGAGGCTTTCTGGCCTTCGGGGGCCCCCCGCGTCGCCGCGGCCGGACGCGGCGACAGAAGCTGGTGCCTTTTGACCCTGGGAGAGGTCCGAGGACCCGTTTTGGACGGGTTCGAAGTCGAGGGGTGCGCCACGACGGCGACGATGACGACGGCGGCGAAGACGGCGACGAGAGCGGCGGCGGCGGCGGCGGCGGCGGCGGCGGCGTCGTCGTCGTCGTCGTCGTCGTCGTCGTCGTCGTCGTCGTCGTCGTCGTCGTCGTCGTCGTCGTCGTCGTCGTCCGTCGTCCGTCGTCCGTCGCCGTCGCCGCCGTCGCCGTCGCCGTCGTCGTCGTCGTCGCCGTCGTCGTCGACGTCGTCCTCCTCCTCATCCTCGTCCTCGTCCCCGTTTTGGCTGGCCCGCCTGCGGTTCGGCCCGGCTCGGCCGGCAGAGGAGAGGAGGAGGATGAGGAGGATGAGGAGGAGGAGGAGGAGGAGGAGGAGGAGGAGGAGGAGGAGGAGGAGGAGGAGGAGGAGGAGGAGGAGGAGGAGGAGCTTGTTAGAATTCGATTGGCTTATGGGTACCAACGCCCAAGGGGGGACCGGGTATCAAGCGCCGGTGGCTGGCGAGCCCCACCATGAGATTAGGGGGGAAGAACCCCAGCATCGTCCATGAGGCTTCGTCGAGGCAGAACCGGCATCCTGGGTGACCGATTCGATTGCCACGCAAATGAATGTTCGATGGCCCGGCAAATCAGACCCACTACGAAGGTGTTCCTTGCCCCCCCAGTCCCGAGAAGGGACAGCGCATCATTGAGGGGACGAATGGGATGAGGACGCTGGGGTGTCTTCCGACTCCTGGCTACCCCCTCATATCCTTGCCTCACCGTGGCAATCCGTCCAATTAGAGCGCCTCACGGCGGCTTACCGCAATCGCGCGCCCTTGATTCTGAAAAGAGGAGGAGGTGGAGGAGGACACGGAGGAGGAGGAGGAGGACGACGACAACGACGCAGAGGAGGAGGAGGAGGAGGAGGAGGAGGCCCGTTCCTCGTGAGACATCCTCGGAAGTCTGGGCTCCAACGCGCCACGACAAGTGATTATTAGCGCTCTCGCCTGGGACATCTTCACCACACCGGCGCATCCCGCTTAAAGCATCCGCAGCATTCTGGGATCCGATATTCTTTGAGTTGAAGTAATCTGGCCACCATCGCCTGAGCCATCCTCGCACTTGCTTCCCGCCGAAATTTGCCCCGCCAGATTTTGCCTCCCGCGCGGCTGCCGCCATCGCCATCATTATCATCAGCATGACCTTCCTCATCCTCATCCTGAGACATCCTCGCAACGCTGACCTCTGATATTCTTCCCTGCTCCAAATTGTCCTGGCCAGTTCCGCCTACACAAAAACTCGCAGCGTTGACCTGGGATGTGCCTTGCCTTCACGTAGTCTGACCCCCGATCTTCCCCGAGATGCGGTGTTCAGGCCACTTGCGCCTGAGACGCCCTCGCACCTCTCTCTGACTTCGGAGGTGCCCTGCCCCATGGCGGTCCGGCCACTGTCGCCGTCGCCGTCGCCGTCGTCGTCGTGGCGGGGAACTGACAACCAACCGATAACCCGATAAACCGATAAACCGATATGCGGCGCAAGGATCGCCTCCACAGGTTCCCCCCCAGCGGTCTCAGACCAGCCAATCAACCGATAAACCGATCAACCGATAAACCGATCAACCGATAAACCGACGAAGAGAGGGGGGCGCGCCAGCAATCGCCTCTATGTTCGCATACAGAGTTTATCGGTTTTTCGGTTGAGCGACCGATCCACCGATAAACCGATCAAATTATATCGGTTTTTCGGTTGATCGGTTTGCAAACCGTTCAACCGATTAGTTTTTATCGGTTTATCGGTTTATCGGTCGGATGGATTTCCGGAAGCCGTTGCCGCTGCACTCAAAATTGATGTTTTGCCCGTGTGTACTCTGAGACCGTACTTGCGCGCCTCAGTTTCGAATTGATGCCACCAACAATACAGCATCGGCAAACCTGAGATTGGTGAGGGGGTCGTCAGTGCTGTCTATGACCATGCCGTAGTATGGTCCGAATCGCTTATGGTTCAGGCCAGCCCATCGCACCTTCAGCTTCATGAAGACGGCCTCCATGACGACGACGAAGGCGGCCGCAAGAAGAGTCTAAAAGTGGGAACGCAAACCAAGAATTCGAGGCTTCTGCCCCAACAGGCCTCCAGCGGGCCCGCTTGCCTTCCCGAGTAGCTACCACCCAGACTGCTGCGCTGGCACGGTGGCGGAACTGCCGGAGGCAGTTGCACATTAAAGAACAAGAACATCACCAGATCGTACCATATCACACTTCGCCCGACTCTAGACCACGCCAGGAGATGCCATTGAGCGTCATACTATGCAAATAGTGAGGGAGACACCCGTCGTTGCACGGGCTTCTGGGATACGCGAAGCATGTTGACTTGACTTGAACGGAGGGGTGGAACCGCCAGCGAGTCCCTGAAGAATCCCAGAAACCACACGAGCCGGAAGTCACCGCCACGCTTTCATTCCGATTCCAGCCGCGCTCAAGCGGGCGGCCAAGAGGGGGGACGAAGGAAAGAACGCAACGCAACCCCATGAATTTCAGGCAACGCCTTGCCAGGGGCAACGGGACCCAGACTTCCCGCGGAATGATGTGCCGGAGGAAGGCCAATCGAACAAACACTGCTCTGTCTCCTGGGCCACATCGGCTCAAAACCACACCCCAGACCCGACTCCCTGGATCCATACAGCTACGTTTTTAGAAGCGGGCCCCGCCGCGGCGAAGAGAAGCGTCCAGAGTCCCCAGAAAGGACGAAACACCGCTAGGGAGGGCCGCCGTTGTCTGGACTGGCCCTCCCCGAGTTTGTTCAGTCTGAGGGCCCAAGACCTCCCGACCTCTTCCCTGGGGCTGGCTGATGAGTCCCAGACGGCTGCGTACTCGTGGCCACCGGGGCCCAAAAACGGGCCCCCCGACGCCGACACGTTGGCGGAACCCCCACTCCTCCTCCTCCCTCCTCTCCTCTCCTCCCTCCTCCTCCTCCTCCTCCTCCTCCTCCTCCTCCTCCTCCTCCTCCTCCTCCTCCTCCTCCTCCTCCTCCTCCTCTTGCTCTTCTTCCCCCTCCTCCTTCTCCTCCATCCTCCCTCCGTGCCCATCCTCCTCTTCCAATCTCTCTCTCCCTCCTCTCACCTCCCCCTCCCTCCGCGCCCCTCCGCAAGAGCGTGCAGCAGCCACCGAGCCTTTGCACAGGGCAGATTGACACGACTGTGGAAGGGCCAGACCACGACCACGGGGAGGCCTCAGCTGACTCAGGGGAAGGGTCCCTAGGCTTTGACACGTCCATCCTTTCACGGTAGAGGTAATGCCTGGGGAATCCTGTTTGTCCTGTTCATCCTCCCTCCTTCACCTCCTCCGTGGCCCTCCCCAGTGCCCCGCCTTCTCCGCACCCCTCTCTTCCCTCCTTCCCGCCGCGCGCTCCGCTCCTCCTCGTTCCTGTCCTCCACGTCCAGGAAAGTTCCCTTCACCTTGATGACGGGCCCGCTGCCTGCGCACCGCGGGGGGGGAGGGCAGCAGAGCGCCGCTTGCCCCCCCGGTACTACTACTACTACTACTACTACTACTACTACTACTACTACTACTACTACTACTACTACTACTACTACTACTACTACTACTACTACTACTACTCCAGTTACTATTATTATCACTTTCTTCTTCTTCGTCTTCTTTTTCTTCTTCCTTCTCCTCCTCCTCCTCGTCCTCCTCGTCCTCCCCCTCCTCATCCTCCTCCGACCCGTCCGCGCTGGCGCCGGCGCTTCTCCTCCCGAGGCCCCTCGGTCTCCTCCTTCTCGTGCTCCTGGTCCTGTTCCAGCTCCTCCTCGTCCTCCTTCTGCTGTTCCTCCTCCTCCTCTTCTTCCTCCTCTTCCTCCTCCTCCTCCTCCTTCCTCTCTTCTTCCTCCTCGCGCAGAAACCTCGCGCCACTCCTTGTCCTCCTCCTCCTCCTCCGCCTCCTCCTGTTGCTCCTCCTCCTCCTCCCGCGCTACCACCTGAGGCGCACCCGAAGTTCACTTCGACACCTCTTCAAAATGGGAGACCCTGACGAAGCGACTGCCCCCCGACCCCAAGGAAAACCCACCCTCGTTGGGGCCGCCGCTCCTGGATAGGCTTACCTGTCTATCAGGTCTTTCAAGGCGGCCTGAACCTAGTCAGAAGAGTCCGATGCTCGCCCAACTGCCTGAGCGTGTGAGGGTGACAGTGGCTGCTCTTCCTCTTCGAGGCGCAACTGCTCTCTCACATGACTTGGTGCCAACCCCTGAACCTGCGCAACTCCTTCCGCAACGACAGAATGACGAAAGACTGGATCAGGTTGCTGCCGGCCCATTGGGGTGGCTGTGTTTGAAAACGAATGGAACCACGCAAGGCCCCCATGAGCCAACTTCGAGTGGGGTTCGCGGCTGCCCCACCTCGTCCCACATGGCTAAGGGTCACACTGCCCTCGGCGGGGGCGAACCCCAGGTCTACTTCACTCTGGGTCTCAGCAGCTTCTAGCATAACGACCGACTCGACAACTGGATCGTGCTGCTGCTGGCCCAATGTGTCTGTGACCTGCACAGCACCTCCTGGCCCCGAGCTTGAAACGAACGCGGCTGCTAGCGAGGCCTCCATGCACCGACTTCGAGTGGGGCTCTCTGCCGTCCCACCTCGTCCCACATGGCTGGGGGTCACACTGTCCTCGCCGGGGGCGAACATCAGGCCTGCTACACTCTGGGCCTCAGCAGCTACTTCCACAACGACAAACGACTGGACGACTGGATCAGGTTGCTGCTGGGCCCCTGGGGAATTCAAGGGGGTCCCCCTCAATCGAAAGGAAACGAGCAGACTCCTCCTCCTCTTCCTCCGTCTCCTCCTCCCTCTCCTCCCCCTCCTCCTCCTCCTCCTCCTCCTCCTCCTCCTCCTCCTCATACTGCTCGAACTCAACCACTCGACTGCTAAAGAGCTGTGGCGGGGGAGTCTGCGATCCGACAGCGAACCTGGTCACGCTCGAAACCTCAACGACAGGCTCTGGCTGCTGGGTCGCCTCGACTCCGCGCGGTACATTCTTGGCCATTGGGGCAAGCGTGCGACGCCAGCAAGGGAGTTGGCGCCAAGACTAGAGCCAGCCGGAGGAGGGGGAGGGTGTTATTGGGCCACCGTTCTAGACCTTTTGGAGGGTTCCCTTGGTTTATTGTTTTGAGCGTAGCCTTGCCGTCCTTGGAACACCGTCGGCCACAGGATTTGGCCAGCGTGACAAAGCGACACACGCCTTCTGCTCCGCACAGGCGGCAAAACCACAGTCCTCGGTAGTTCTCGACCCGATGAGAGACGTCGGTCTGGAACGGACGCCCCAGACACTGCGAGGCCGAGAGCTCTTCAAGGTCACGTTTGCGTACATGTTGCTGGCAAACTTTGCACTTCCAGCCCTTAGGGTTCAAAACCAGCCTATGGGAGGAGCTCCTTAATAAGCTTGGCTGCTGCTGGTCTCTCGCATTAGCTTCGGCGGCAACCGTTGCATGCAAATATCATTTGGACCCGCCAGGCAAATTTCTCGGCCTCCTCTAACCACCTCCCCCTCCTCCTCCTCCTCCTCCTCCTCCTCCTCCTCTGCCACCCGCGGTCATGGCGGACCCGACGGCTTTACGAGGACCTCCCGCAACAATGGGTCCCGATCCACCACATCACCTTAGGCCAGCCTCCTGTTGAAGCCGGCCCAAGAGAACAGGCTCGAGCAGTGCCAGGGAGAGACCCTAAAAAGCGGGAGGGGAGGGAGGACGAAGGAGCAGCGGGAAGCACAACATCGCCGTTTAGGGTGCGTGGCGCGCGCCAACTCGTGCCAGGGAGGAGGGAAGGGACTGAGGAGGGAGCCAGGAGAACCGGATGGCCGTGTGCGCGGGGGCGCGAGGGCGCGGCCGTGGTGTGAGCCACTGGACCACACCGTTAGGCGCGCGCGCGGAGCGGGGGAGCCGAAAGGGGGGAGAGCGGAAGGAGAGGGGAGAGGCGCGTCCTCCTCCTCCTCCTCCTCCTCTTCCTCCTCCTCCTCTTCCTCCTCCATTATCACGCCTGCGTCTCCTGTCTTCCTCCTCAGCCTCCTCATCTTCCTCCTCCTTTTCCTCCTCCTCCTCCTCCTCATCATCATCATCATCATCAACATCCCGCCTCCACCCCTGTCCTTCTCCTCCTCCTCATTATCCTTCTCATCACTATCACCGTCTTACCCCTCCTGACCATCAAGATGATCATTAGAAGCAACACCATCATGACCATCGTCACCAGTATCATCATCATCATCATCATCATCATCAGCATCATCATCATCATCATCATCATCGTCATCATCATCATCATCATCACCATCATTACCATCATCACCATCATGAGCAAGAGCTGCTACACCGTCAACTTCATCAGCATCACCATTGTCATTTTCATCGTCATCGTCATCACCATCATAATCATCACTATACGGCAAATAACAAACACAGCCACCATCATCACCATCACCATCACCATCGTCATCGTCATCGCCAACATCAGCACCACCATTCTCATCCACATAACCGCCACAACCATCATCTGCAGAACCATGACGATGACAACCACCACCACGACCACCACCATCAGCAGCATCATCCTCAGCATCATCATCCACACCATCATCATTCTCATCACCCCAGCAACATCATCATCAGCATCATCATCAATATTCATCATCATCGGCAGCATCATCAGCATCATGATTCGCATCATCATCATCATCAGCAGCATCATCATCATAATCAGAATCATGATCATTATCATCATCATCATAATCATCATCATCATCATCATCGTCATCATCATCATCATCATTAGTAGCATCATCATCATCGTCATCATTATCGTCATCATCATCGACATCGTCAGCATAGTCATCGTCATTATCATGATCATCATCAGAAGCATCATCAGCGTTGGCAGCATCGTTGTTATTATAATCATAAGCAGCATCATCTTCAACAACATCGTCATCACCATAATCGTCATCATCGTAGTCATCACGATCGTCGTCATCGTCGCCGTCACCATCGTCATCAGAATCATCACCATCATCGTCACCGTCATCGTCATCGTCATCACCATCATCATCATCATCCTCATCATCATCTGCATCATAATTATCATCATCAGCATGATCACAATCACCATCACCATCACCATCATCAGCATCAACATCATCGCCACCATCACCGTCACCATCACCATCCGCATCAGCATCAGCATCATCACCATCGTCGTCATCATCATAAGCATCATCAATACCATCATCATGAACATCATCTTCATCAGCATCGTCATAATCATCATGAGCATCATCATCATCAACATGATCATCATCAGTACCATCATCATCATCATCATCATCATCATCATCATCATCATCATCATCATCATCATCATCATCATCATCGTAATCAACATCGTCATCTTAATCAGCATCACTATCTCATAGTCCTCGTCCTCGACCTCGTCCTCTCTCCTCCTCCTCCTCGTCGTCGTCGTCGCCGTCATCGCCATTGCCATTATCATCAGCATCACCACCATCACAGCCATCATCATCGTCATCGTCATCGTCGTCATCAGTAGCATCATTGCCCCTCCTCCTCCAACTCTTCCTACAATTACTCATCCACCCCATACAATCTCTCCAAAAATCCGCCGATCCGGCGTGTGAGTTTCAAGGAGTCTCAGCTACAGCCTCGAGGCTGAGCTTCAGCCTCTGGGGGGGTCGCCGGGGTGGCTCTGCCGGGGAAGGGGGGGTGGGGGGGGGGGGGGGGGTGCGAGTTTCCGGCGAACCCCGGGGCCGCTCCGGGGGAGTGGAAGATAGGGGGGGGGGGGGCGCCATGCTCCGCTTTTTCCGGCGCTTTGGAGGAGGGGGGGGGCCCAAGAGACCCCCAAGGGGTTCCAAGAGGGCCCCGAGTCGCCGAAAAATCGCTCCAAGACGCCCGAGATGGCCTCCAGACGGCCCAAGGTGTCTCCAAGACGCCCCAAGAAGCTTCCAAGAGGCCTCCCAAGAGGGCCCCAAGAGGCCAGAATCGTTGATTTTCATTGGTTTTCTCAGGGTTTTTAGCGTTCTTGCCTTTTCGGGCGTCCGACGCTCGAAGACGGCCCAAGAGGCCCCCAAGTCCGTCCCAAGACGGCCCACGATGCTTCCAACACGGCCCAAGAGAGCCCCAAGACGGCCCAAGAGGGCCCCAAGACGGCCCAAGAGGGCCTCTGGACAGCCCAAGAAGGCCCCAAGAGAGCCCCAAGAGGGGCCCAAGAGGGGGACCACGAACCGAAAGAACCGAGCTTTCCGCCCCAAGAGGCCCCCAGGAGGCCCCAAGAGACCCCCAAGGGGCCCCAAGAAGCCCACAAGAGGCCCAAAAGAGGTTCCAAGAGGCCCCAAAACAGCTCCCCAGAGGCCTCCAGACTGCCTCCGGCAGGCCCCCGGTTTCTTCCGCGGCACCGCCCAGGGCGCCACCGGCAGGA